CATCCACAATAAAAATGATTAATCAACCTCTCATAATTACAAAAAAAAATGAACAAAATAAAAAATTATGATTAGTTGAATGAAGTTTGTACGATTTGTACAAATTAGGTGGTTTTTATTTGAACGCTCCCCTATATATATATACACATACATGAAGTAGATGATGTTTGACTTTTTGGTAAAACTCATACCCCTCTTTCAAGATATATACAATCTACTTACCTTATGCAATGCAAATACGACACCGTTCAGTTCTACCATTATATCGCTTGGAACATCGCGAAATATCCTGCAAAAGAGACAAAAGTTTTACCTTAAGAACTCGCATTATGTTCTAAGGTATAGTAGCCATTCGATCTTTCTCTATAACTAAACCTATGCGTTGTTTGGTTGGTTTTACATATTGTATGCGTGGATTAATCTGTCTGTATAGATTGAGAATTTTTTTGTTTGAGAGAGTTTTTTTCATAGATGAAATGAACGTGTTTTTTTAATTGAGAGCGGCAAGTGGAAAAATCTTAACTTTTTGCATAAAGCACCCCCTAAAAGCTTATTGAACATGCAACTTTATATACCGTTAAGCCACTACCAAAGAGTCTTATACAAGTGACTGAATAAACTGCGAGTCTCATTAATTTCATTAAGCTGCTAACAAACAGACCCCTAGAAAGCTAATGGGCAGACTTTGACTCGAATAACACACACCCAATTGGTGGTAGCAAACGACCCTTAATTCTTGTCAATTTTTGAAACTAAAACTAGTCCGATATCGACTCTTCAAGGGTCAACATCGAACTACAAGTGCACCCGTTCTCACTTATTTGTATCTTTACTAGAGAAAAAAGAACGGAAGTAGAGATGAAAGAGTGACGAACCATTCATTGTAGCGCTGGCGGGAACTCTTCGCCGGAATGAGCTGAGGAGGTTGGTGGGTGTGGTGGTGGTGGTGGTTGTTGTCCATGAAGAGAGGTGTAGGAGCAAGAAGAGTGATGGAGTGGTAGAAAAATGGAAATGTTTGAGATCTTCTTTGGCCATTTTTGGTCAATTATGGAACATCATAAGATTTGCAAATGGGTCTCTGTTTTCTCTTGTAGGGTCATTGATATTAATTGGTTTTTAAAATATAAAAAAAAATGTTACCAAAATCAGATAGTTAAGTTACATTTTCATCCCTATGGTTTGTTAAAAATTACAGATTTTGTCCCTTTAGTTTTGAAATTATGATTTTCGTCTCTGTGGTTTGCGACTCATTTCTATTTTCGTTCTTGAAGCTAAACACTACTTTTGAGTACGAGAGAGTTAAAACAATAGTAATTTTTTTTTATCAATAGTTGTTTATGTAAACTAAAAGTAAACCGCAAGTAAAGCCTACAGGGGAACAATCATACTTTCTCTTTTTGACAATGAAATGAGATACCACAAACATCATTATCTTTTAAAGGTGGGGTTTGTTATTTAAGAGTTGTTGAAGTCTGAAATCTGATTTCACTTTTGATTTATAAGAGGTGGTACTGATGTCTAAAATTTGAGTCAGTAAGACTGTTTGTTTTTACGTCTGAAATATGAATCTATCAAACTAGTACAAAAATATAAAGGATAAATAGTTTTTATAAAAGTATAAAAATTAATAGTTTTTGTAAACAAATCTCTTCCAGCCTCCAAAATATGAACCATTTGATAGAGGGCGGATTAGAACTAGGAGGTATTAAGGGATATCTTTAGCACTTAAAATTTTAGAGGATATTTAGAGTTTTTAAGTTCTCTTATTTAAAAAAAAAACGCTCTTAATACCCAAACATGAAACATCTGAACGAATTAGACTTCAAATGTATTAAGAGACAATTTTGAAAAAAACAAACAAAACCTAAGTAAAACGTTGTATTTTATTTAAAAATTAAAAATAATTATTATTTAGTTTCAAATTTAAATTTTGGCATCTTTCGATAAGTAATTTTTCTAATAAAATATTTTAATATTTTTGAAATGAAAATGTTGTATTCTGTCAGGTATGAAAATGAAATAAATTTGTACTTGATTTGAGGAGGTAAAGGGGCGCAAAGAAAGGGAGAATTGAAACTTCTGTTCGATCCATAAAACAAAAAGTCAAATAATATGAATTGGTCTTACGGGTCTCACGAAAAAACCATATAATTTATACAAACCGTGCAAACCACCCTCCTTCGTCGATTTCATTGTTTAATCTTATAAATTTTTTTCATGAAATTGTTAATCTTGTGAAATTGTTTCATATAATATTTTTTTTATTAAGTTGTTTCATATATGGTTATGAAATTGTTTCATATAATATTTAATAAAATTTTAATGAAATTGTTTCATGTATTTTTCTAAAATTAAAATAATGAAGATGATAATATTCATAGTTAACGCCCTCCACAATAATAATGATTAATTAACCTCTCATAATTACAAAAAAATGAACAAAATGAAAAATTGTGATTGGTTGAATGAGGTTTGTATGATTTGTACAAATTGTATGTTTTGTATTTGATCACTCCTCTATATATATATTAGAAGAATACTCGTAAAATGCATCGAGATTTCAATGTTTTGTTTTATTCTTTATCTATGTCGATATAATATGATTTTATGTGTTTTTGATAAATCGATAATGCTTTTATTTTTAAATAAAATATAAATTTAAAAATATCATAAAATTTTAAAAAACAATATATCAATTTTAGTATCAACTTGACTATTTGAAAGTTCTTGTTTTGTTTAATTTTTTTAATTCAATTTTTTTATTATAGTTTAATTTAAGGTAGCAAATTAATTTAATTTAGGTTTAATAATATAATTTTTTATAAAAATAATAATTAAGAATTATATTAGAACTCAATTATTTCAATTATATTTTAGATTTTTTATATTTAAAATAAGATATTTATCATATATTTTATTATGTTTATTTGCAAGTTACACAAATTTAAACATGAAGTTTTAATATGTTGTACTTACGCATAATTTACTTGTAATCTTAAATTTCAAGTAATTTGCATTAATAAACAGTATTTCGTGCATAAAAAATGGTTTTTAAGAGTTTTTATTAAATGCTTTATAATAGTGTGTGTGTGTGTGTGTTTTTGTGTGTGTATATATATATATATATATATATATATATAATTAAATTGTTTATTTTTGTATGGTTTATATCTATGTCAATAATTTAATTTCAAGATCAATAAAGTTTAATTATATCATTTATTGAATTAAAAACTCTTGTCGTAAATTAAATCATACCGATAAGCTATTTCATATTTATATTTACGGCATCACAATTCATTTTGTATGAAGCAATATCATTGATATGATCGTCTCAAACATGTAGTTCAGTTAGCAAAAACATCGAATTTACTTTATCTAAATACAAGATGGTCTCGGGTTCGATCCCCCCTTTCAGTGCTAATCTCAGCATCTAAGTGAGTCAAAAACTGCTCTATCACATCAGTGCCATTAGATACGGGTTTCGTATGAGGTTATCGATAATCAATCTTTACCCAGATATCATTGACATGATTCTAATCATGTAAATGTAATTAACTAAAAGAGTTTTTGATAAAGCAGAAAACCATGATTTTGACTGCTTACCAAGAAAATATACATAAGCAACTTTAGGTAAAGAGCAAAATTGTTAATATTTCAAATGATAGATAACAAATTCGTTCAGTTGTCAGCCCTTCAAAATATATTTGCAAAACATAACAAATATTAAATCAGTATCATTTTAATCAAATCAGTTACAGTATCAATATATGTATAAAGGTGTAAAATGTACGTGAGACAGTAGGAAAACGAATGTATATGTATTGCTTAATGCAAGTAATCAGATGTACTAATATGACTGTTCTTACAACTGATGTTATTGTTGTATCATTTCTTATATACATCAGTAGTATTTGGTGAACGTGATCACCCATTAATATTATATTCCATCAAAGCATATGAGGGTATTTCCTTGCAAAACATAGACACGTATAAAGTAAGGTACTTTGACCTACATGCGGGGACGTACCTATAGCGGTGCATACGGTGGCACGTGCCACCGCGTTATTCATCCGTCGAAAGGTGAAAAATTTTAAGTTCGTGAAAAGTGCAACCATAATAATTTGTTATGTGTCATTGTATGTATTTGAAACTACAATGAGAACAAGTTTTATTTGATAGAGTTGGTTTGCAAAACTTTTATTCCACCTCAGACCCAAGTTCAAATCTTGTTAGTGTTATTCTCTTAGTCAAATGGTGTCATCGTTTGAAAAAAAAATTCGTATATTTGTTTCTTATAGTCAAACGGTGCCACCGTTTGAAAATTTTTCCATGTATATTTTTTTATAGTCAAATGGTATCACCGTTTGAAAAAAATTTATGAGTTCATCCTTGCCCGCATGTTGTCTTTAGGTTAGGTTAGACACTAGCATTATTGATACTGAATCATGACATAATTGACCATCCTCACCATAAAAGAAATCACTCATGTATCATGAATGCTTACAATTGTAGCAATTTGATGATGTTTGTCTATCATTTAGACATAAAACGAAGTTATAAGATCACTTCATATGTAAATTATCGTAACAATAATATCTGATAAAATAGATTGATCAAGCGGTTTTCTGATTACATGTTTTTATGAAAAAAAATATAACTAGAATTACTAATATTCACATGACCATATCACCTACATTATAAAAATTAATAATTTATTTTAAAATTATTCGTAATGAAATTATGGTGCTGAATGGTTAAGAGACACCCAAGATACAAAATCATTCAGATGATTTTAGAACCATTAAGATGCAGATTTATTTTTGCCAAACAAGATCCACCTTTTAGCGATTCAAAAATCGCCTCTTAATAAAATTATTAAGAGGTAAACAAACAACTCTTAAGTCGAGACGTTTTCACAAATTACGATGATCATCTTGTAATTTTAAAATTAAAAGAATAAAAAGTGTTAATTGTTGAAAACTACAGGGACCAAGTTTGTAATTTACTCTTACTAAAATATAGATATAGATATAAAGAAACGAATGATTCATGTCGTCGTGAAAGGGGACCTTTTGATAGTCAATATACCTTTTCTCTATTAGAAAATATGATTTTGGAGCACTTGCACGCCAATGCTTTTTTGGGGTGGTGTAATAATAATATAAAAGCATCCTATGGTACGAGTCAATATTCACTGATCATTTGGTTTTAGATTATGTCTCATTAACGTTATATATGTTATTACACATTTTAATTGCATAATTATGACAATCATATAATAAATTACGAAAAATCAATAGACATAAATGAGCGAATGGATTTGTATGCGTTTTTTTATACTGTTGTGGATGTGTATGTGTATGGATGATGATGTCGTCAACATAGATATGGTAGGAGGAGGTCAAGGTAGCGACGGAGAAATACTTTAGTGATAAAGATCTATATAAACCATAAGGGTGATGCCTGATTGGTTTGAACTTGACTCCAAAGGTCAAAAATACCAGGAGGTCTCAAGTTCAAATCCAAAGAGGAATAAAATCCCCTTGTGGCCACGAAGGTTCAAATTGGTGACTCCGGACTATTTATAAAGCAGGTGGTCACCTTGAGATTAGTCGGCTTGCATAGCGGGTTGGATATCCAGGTTAATAAAAAAAATCTATATAATACACACACACACACACACACATATATATATATATATATATATATGTGTGTGTGTGTGTGTATGTATGTAGAGGTGCTCACTGTTCATGGGTTGAGTTGATTGGGTTGAAGACATTTGAACAACCCAACCCAATGCTTGTGGTTTGAATTTTTTTAACCCAACCCAAACCAACCAAACCGTACGCGTTGATCGGGTTAGTCGAGTTGATAATTTGGTACATTAAAATATTTTTCTAACTTTGAATATGTTATTTTTGCTCATAATTTTTTTTTCATCAACAACCATTTGATACAAATTATCCATACTTCTTACGTATATCACATGCAATTAATTTTCTCAATTTACATATATATGTTCACAGTTATTAAACATATATACGAATGAGTTATATAAAAATTGAGAATAGATTGAAAAATATGTATATATGAAGAGCGTGTGTGATAGTGTAATTGTCTAATGTATATATATTAATATAAACTCAATAATCATATTAAATCCAAGAAATAAAAAGAAATCGGATTCATCAAGTTGGGTTGACTTCAAATAATAGTAACTCAATATCAATCTAATACCCACGGTTTGAAAATTTTACAACTCCATTAAACATCGGGTTACTTCAGATTGAATTATTTTGTGTTAAATTAAGTTAGATTGGTCGGGTTTTTGAGCATCCCTAATCCCTACGGTATTAGGGAGGGGGATGCCACATTGCAAACAACATATGTTCATATAGAATGACCATCTCTCTTCAGTCAAACCAAAAGCTGGCTCTCTCTTTTGTGAAATCAAATGTGTTTGGGCTTTTCAGAGGCCCATTTGTTTGGCAGATTGTTAGCCCAATATTTATCAAGGCCAACGAAATCACAATTCACAAATAATCAGAGACAATAGGCCATGGTTTCTGAGAAGTCGGCAATCGGCCATGGAAAAGAGGAATTGAAGCAACGAAGGCAGATTTCATGACCTCATCACTATTCACTGGTAGAACTCTAAATCAATCTGTACGTTACTCTCTTAATTTGTTTGCATTTTTTACATGTTATGTAATCATAATGGGGAAATTGGTTCTACGTTTTGGACGATGAGTAAGTAAGCCATTGATGGATCTAAATCGACGTCTGGTAATCTGCGAAAGAATATGTTTGATTTGGGAAGAGAGTCGTGCTATCTTTGCTCCTCTGAATTTATCGTATGGTTTTTAGGGTTTTATTTGGTTAAATTTAGTGGGATTTGGATTTTTGACAAGAGTTTTTGGAATCGATATCCTACCACTGTACCACTTCGAAAATGGCCGTTGTTAGATTCAGCACTCGCTATGTTTCATAAATAATAGAAGCGTATCTGTGCAATGCAACACGGTTCTGAAATCTAAAACTCCAACTCTCAGTTATGATTCAGACTCTATCCTATTGATTGTGTTTCTGGATATATTTTATGGTTTTGAAAAAGGTCGAGAGGGTTGGTTATTATTTTATTAAGATTTATATCAATGTGAGTTTCAAACTAAAGATTAGGGATGTCACGGTACGCTTTGGATCCAAACCGCAGACCAGACCAGACCGTACTGCATATGTGGTTTGAATATTTTCCCAAACCGTTATGCAGTTTGTACCAATCGTACTTTATACCTACAATCCAATAATTATAAGTTTAAAAATACATCATAAAATCAAAGATAAAGTAACCGTGGTACAAAAATAAAGAGTATTAAAACATCCGTTTTCCAAAACATAATTAAAGATGGTATACGAAGTAGACAAAATAAACTTAAAACTAAATTAGACGTGTTAGATGTGACTTGTCCAACTTATTTATATATGTTGCCAATTGCCTTATTGGCTCAAATTGAAATTCCAAAACACAAAGTCCAAAAATATTACGTAAATAATAAAATAATCTATATGTACAAAATATGCAGTGCAATGCGGTTTGAACCGTGGTTTGATATCTTAAAACCTTTAATTTGAATGCCGTACATTTATAATTACAATTATATATAAATGTATGAATATATACATAACATACTATATCTATATTATATGTAAATGTATGAATGTATATATAACACGAGGATAGAAGAGATGAGGAGCAACTGATGTTGGAAGACAATGTTGTTGTGAAGCGAAGATGCAAAACTAGTAGACTGGAATAGAAGAGATGAGAGGGGAACAATGAGTTTACACACCAACATTGCAAATCAAAATCAACCCCTTAGCTTGTAATCCCTTAACGGACTTCTCTAAACCTTTTAAAAGACCAACTGAAAGCCCAACTCCTAATTGCAGTTTTCAAATCGCAATTGCAAATCAAAACTGTGGCCCAATTGCGGTGATTAGCATCGCTATTAGCGGAACCGCTATTACCGCTAACTGCTATAGGACCACTATAGCACCACAATTAACAATATAGTTTAATAGAGTAACAATAAGCAAATTTTATTATTAGAGGAGCCACAGCAGTAGAGGGGTGAGAGACAGGGTCAATGAGCCGACAACGAGGCTTACACATTAAACTAGAGGTGTGTAGTTGATTGAATTTTTCTTGACTATGTTTTTTTGTACATGCTTCTGTTTGTATGTTGTTGTTTACTCATAACTGGCTTTCTTGCTAAGTCCTTCCATTTTTTTCTATCTTTCGACTTCTTTCACAAGACGAAGGTCTTGCTGAAAGCAACCACTCTATCCCAACCCTTAGAGGTCAAAGGCACGTATACGTTCATCATACCCTGATATCCCTTTTTAAGTGGGATAGACAGGTATATTTAATTTGTTTGGTTTAGTTTAAGTTTTTTAATGCCAATAATTGGTGTCTGAGAAACATATTGTTATGTGTCACTATAGCCTTTTATTATGTAGGTAAGGACACAAGTACTTAAAAATTTAGAAGAAAGTAGAGCTACCAACCACTCCAAAAAACTGGGAATTTAAAGAAACAACCTTTAGAGAAAAACTTGACAACAAATTCTGAAGTATTAATAGGTCGAAGAACAAAATTTTCAGAAAAGGATTTTGAGTTAAATTGTATGCTTTAACCACAATTCTAGCAAACCTATTTGATGTATGATGTTTTGGCAAATATGAGAGGAAAGCCAGATCGATTGTTTTTTGACGGCTTGCTACTAGCTGAAATCGAATAACAGGAGCTCAGCCTTGAGAAAATAATATGCAATTGACCGTTTTCAATATCTTCTTAAGGCATGTTTGTTAGCAGCTTAATGAGACTCACAGCTTATTCGATCAGCTATACATGATTGTTTGATAGTAGTTTAATCATATAGAAAGTGACTTATTCAGTAAGCTTTTGAGGGAATCTTTATGCAGAAAGCCAAATTATTTCCAAACTTTCCCCAACCAGTTAAAAACATGTTCATTCTATCTATGAAAAAACTCTCCAAACAAAAACTTTCTCAATCTATACAAACAAATTAATCCACACAAACAATACAAGACTTAGGGTCTGTTTGTTAGCAGCTTAATGAGATTCACAGCCTATTCGGTCAGCTATACAGGATTGTTTGATAGTTGCTTAATGATATAGAAAATGGCTTATTCAAAGAAGTTTATATGGTGGAGCTTTATGCAAAAAACCAAGTTTTGTTTTTCAAACATGCCCCATCCAATTAAAAAACATGTTCCTTCCATCTATGAGAAACTCTCTCAGACAAAACCAACCAATCTATATCGACAGATTAATCCATACAAACAACTTTATCTATCGAAGACTTAATGAAAACCAACCAAAGTGGTCTCTTTATATATGTAATGTATGTATATAGTGGAGCATTTGGTTGGATGGTGTTGATGTGTTGGGTGTGTTTGGGGTGTTATCAAGACTAGTTTGGTTTCATCTGGCAAAATCTAGTTTATGGTAGGATTTCATCAGAAAAGGGGAACATGGTTTGCAGATTGTTGGTCACTTTTTCTATTTTTTTTCTTTTGTTATTTGAATCTCTCAAGTATTTGATTGGATGTCAATTTTGTGAAAAGGAATTGTGGTCCATGTCATCTTAGATCTCAGAGAAGACATGGTGGTGGAATATGTTCATGAATTAATTGCTCTGATAGCCCACAGAGACATGTGAAAAAATTAAAAACTTTTTGATATGCTCACTCTAGTAGGCACCACTGTTGCCTCATCTGAACCTTGGTCATGGATACTGCAAACAAACAAGAAAAGAATCCCACTAAAAAAAACTATCAACTCTGACTGACTTGACTATTGGAATAATCACATGATTTCTTCACCACCACCTCAATTATTGCCCCTTAACAAGTACTCTAACCTAACCTCTCTCTAAAATAGTAACATATTCAACTTTCAAAATAAGATGTAGATATACCTCATATCTACCCATTCAAAAGAGTAAAGGTTACTCTGTAGGAGTACTCCATTGGCTATACATAAAACATTTTTTTTTTTTTCTCTGAAGGGATGCTTTGAAAGGTAATCTTAGGGTTCCGTATATTCTCACATAAGTCAAGATTTGTTATTTAGGGACTCAACACTCTGGTTAACACCTTCTCTTGGGACAATATGTGTCTAAATAGTTTTAGTTGAAGGAGACGTGTTGGAGTCCCACATCAGCTATAATTGAACTATTTCTCATGTATACATCTTTTTGAAGAGTTATATGAGGTCCCACTAAAGAGTAAAGTGTACCCAAAAGAATAGTATATGCAACTTTCAAAATAAGATGTATACGGACTTTATCTATTCAAAAAAATAACATATTTACCCAAGTAAAGTGGTTGTTTCTGAAGAATTATTGCCAAAAGATATCCACAATCAATCACAAAGGCCATTTTGAGAATTTAACTATATAATGAGCTTTTCAACTAACATGCAAACCATTCCTTATAACAATTAAACATAAATGAACATGGCATGGCATGGCAATTATTTATAACTTGCAAATCTAAAGAGAAAGCTAAAGCACATATTTTCCCTTCTCCATTCTAACCCTAAATATGTTAAGTGTGCACCTATGAAGAGATCATTAGATTACACAACTCGTTTCTTTGCTCTTTACATTCCACTACTTTCTTATCTTCAAACTATTCAACTCCCTCTATGGTTGCACTCTCACCCATTCATAACGCCCTTCAAGCGGCTTTTCATTCACGATATCAAAGTTGTACCTGCATTCATTTTTATAGCAAATGAGTTACTAATTGGGGTAAGAAAATGTGGAAACATTTGTTTCATGGTGACCATGGTATCTGATTCTTGGTCGACTAAGGGCTTGTCTATTAGCAACTTAATGGGACTCACAACTTATTCGGTCAGTTATACATGATTGTTCGGAGTAGCTTAATGATATAAAAGTGGTTTATGCAGTAAGCTACTAAGAAGGAGCTTTATGCATACAGCCAAGTTTTTTCCAAACCTGCCCCTTCCAAGTAAAGAACATGTTCCTTCCATATATGAAAAAACCCATAAAAAACTTTCTCAACCTATATGGGTTGGAACATGTGCATATATGCATGAGAATGAGGGTTAAGGTTAATGTACTTCTCAGAAAAGCGTCGTTGCTGCTCCTGTGCATGACGAGCAAAGAACCCCTCGATCTCCTGTGCCGCAGGCATACTCCTTTGGATTACCCAATTCGATGTTTTAGGTCTTGTACTAGAACCTGGGGTGCTACTCGCATTCAAGTCCCTTATATAGCTACAAGGTGTGCTCTCTCTGGTGCTCCTTCATAAATAAAATAATGATAATTAGCATAAAACTTAGCAGAAGAAAACTAAAAAGCTATATATAAGTAGCAAAATGCATAACATAAGGGGGGGAACATAACTATGCCACTCTCTCCATCCTTAAATAAAGCTACAAGAAGTTAAAACTTAGAATGAAGGACGTGATTGTTTACAGCTTAATGAGACTCATAGCTTATTTGGTCAGTTATACATGATTATTTGGTAATGACTTAATGGTATAGAAAGCATGTTATTCAATAAGCTTCTAGTGCGGAGCTTTATGAAAAAACGATGCTCCTTTCATCTATGAAAAAATTCTCTCAAACAAAAACATTCTCAATCTATACAGACATATTAATCCATACAAACAACTTTATCCATACAAGATATAATGGAAAACCAACCACTAATGTAATTAAAAAATGAATCTTTGAAATAAGATTCTTTCCTTTGAAAATTTGTAAAATGAACTTACCATACTCCCAAAAAAACACAAGGTCCTACTAGAAAGATGCAGTTATCAGGATAAAAACAAGCAATACCAGACTCAAAAAAAGGAATACTTTATAAAATAATGATAATGGAACTGAAACTTTTTCAATCCTTTTCCTGTTCAATTGTTTGTGTACTGTTCACTGACAGATGGTAAAAACAACTTCTGTGGGGCCTACTATCCTCTTTCCATGCATGGTGATTGAAATCTAAACTAGGAAATGGCAATGATCAACATGTGATGGAAGCAGATTTTGTTTTGGATCTTTGTTCTAACAAAATCCATCATTAAATTCAAACTAGAGATGCTACACAATTTTTAACTAAAGAAAACAAATACCTACTTAAAGAAGTTGTCTTGATATAGAAAATATGCTGATTCATAATAAATGAGACCATGTGGCAAATAGTTACAATGTTGGTTTCCATTAAAGCAAGCATCTGACTACCCATGTCTCATAAGTTCTAGTAAGAAAGAAAAACAAGTAAAAACCCCAACCAGGCCACAACAACCGGTCATACCAAACTAAACTAGTTCAGTATATCCTAAATTGACCCGGTACACCGATCCAAACCAAACTAACTCGGTATTTGCCCATCTAAAGATAAAAGATTCATATAATGGTCGATCCCAGCTTATATGGGGATCATATCAAACTAAGAGAAATAATCTCTTTATCATATCAAGAAAAACTGTACAAGTATGCTACCACTTATTTGGCCAGTCACAACGTCCTTGGTGACGATGATAGTACAAAGTTGAAGATACTAAAAGAAGGGAAATTGATTAAAATAGCCAATCTTTCCACCTCCATTCACTTTTTAGCCATATTTTCAAGGCAATTCCCGAAATAACCATTCTTTAAGCAAATGTTATAAGTATTTGTGTAAACTACATTTTTCTAATAGAAAAAAAAAGAAAAAATAAGCATTTGCGTAAAAAAGTACGGTTTTTATGTAAAGATTTACACATTTGCCTAAAGAATGGCTATTTTGGAATTGCCTTGAAAATATGACAAAAAAGTGAATGGAGGTGAGAAGATTGACTATTTTAGTCAATTTCCACTCTGAAGGGTATTTGAGTAAGCTAATGAATACATGCTATAGAGTATAGACTATAGTGAAAACTAGCATAGGCATGAACCCCCCTAAAACAAAGTAATAGAATAATGGCTTTTACTGCAAACCAGTTAGATAGGATAAAAAGGACCTCATCAAAAGCAGTGTCTTCAGCATGCAAACAACTTAATGAAAGAGAAAACAAGGAAGTACAAATATAGGTCCAGAATAATTTAAGACTCATGGGTAACTTTGGTATCTATAGAAAAACACACATAATGACCATAAATTAGAGTTCAAAGAATTCAGCCCATGGAGACACAAATATATATAAAAAGAGCTACTAACTTTTTGAATTAAATTTGGCCTTTTGTTGCAAAATGACCATTGTTTCTTTGGAAAATATAGAAACAAACCATTATCTGCAAGAATCCATAAATTTTTGCATAAACATGTAATTACAAAAATAACAAATGTTGTTGTTTTCACATTTTCATAGTTTGTTTGCAGACCATTTTGAAAGGTGATCACTCCATTTAAGATGGTATTCACATGATGATGCAACAAAAAAGAAAACCACAACCACTTGGGTTGAGGTGCGCTAGTTAAGCCCCAAGGTATGTAGTGGAAATCTCATCTTCCGGGGTTTAAATCCATAAAGCCCGTGTGTCCAGTTTGATGACTCGAGGCCATTTGTGATCCCCCCCCCCCCTCCCCTCCAATATACCATGATTACCCGAAAAGAAGTTCACAAACTCTTGCAAATGAGAACAAGAAATTCCTCCCACCCTTCTCCTAAAGAAAGCAGTTTCATTTCACCCAATATTCAAAAAGATTGACACCCACAAAAGACAAGAAAGAGTCCTTTAATAATCACAAAACTAATCAAAAGAATATATGATCAAATTATCAAAAATACCCATTTTTCTTCACTTTATCAAATAATTGCAAGTTGGTTAAGAAAATATTTTTTATGCAAAACAGGCTAAAATTTGCCTATAAAAAAAGACCAAATCACCAAAAAGTGCCACAAAAAAATTCATGTGAAATTACCCCCTTTTCCTCATATGATCAAACAAAAAAAATAACATTTAAAAGCCACAGAAGGAAGAAAACAGAGCATTTCTATGCCAAAGATGTTAAATTATACATACATACATATATATATATATATCATGAAAAAAGAATTATACCTCTTTCTGCCATCAAAATCAATATTATTTTCTCCAAAAGAAGTTTCTTCAGAACCCAAATCACAATTAGCCTCTGTGTCTTCATCTGCTTCAAATTGGGACTCATCCAAAACCCTAACACGTTCATTACTTGAACCGGACCCGACTGAAACCGAACCACCCGAACGGATTGCCAATCTCAAACCACCCACGCGAGGGTTAGGGTTTTGTTGCCTATAACATGTCGATTGTTGCAGTGGTGGCTTTTCCAGCCTACGGCTTCGCAGCTGGAGATACGACAACTCAGAGTTTTGCTCCGGCGGTGGCGGTGTGGTGGCGGTTTTCGAAGCTTCGAGTTTCTGTAACGCTAGGGTTTTCGCTCGCGTTCGAACGCCGAGGGAGGACTGTGAAACATCCATAACTGCTACAACATCGACGGTCAATTTCGCCTTCCTCATGTACCTTCCCATATCCCTAATTTGATGAGAGTTGATCAAATTACAGAGAATTAGGTTTTCATAAATTATTGAAAAAATCTAGAGAGAGAGATGAAAACGAAGATGGTGGTTTAGAGAGAGAAATGGGTAAAAAGGAGGGGGAAAGATTGTTTGTATGAAATTAGGGTTGGTGTGTCAAAAAGAAACGGCAGTTTTGGTTGTATTTGTATTGGTTCCTCAAATTCTTGAATGCCTAAAATACCCCTGGTAAATAATATTATGAAATATTGGTATTATTTTTATGATATTGATAATATACACATATTCAGAGGTATTATGCAGTGATCAATAAGAATAATAATAAAAAAATGTATAATTTTATATAATATAATGAATTTATTTTTCAGACCTAGATTTTTATTTCAGGTTTTAAGACAATTATTTGTATGAGTTTTTCTCATCTAAATTAATATTTAATATATTGATTAACATATATTAGTTTTATAATGTGTTTGTTTCATGTGTGGACAATTTATAACGTGAAACTTTTTTACGTGTAACTTTTATTTTACAAGTAGACTAAAAATATTCACATTGTGAAACTAATATATGTTAATTAATATATTAAATATTAGTGTTAGATTAAAATATATATATAATATAGTAGATGATATAGTGTGTGTATATATATATATATATATATATATAACCAATATTGTTCAAACTTTATAAACTAAGATCACAAGGATGGTGCCTCATTGGTTTAAGTTTGGGCTACAAAGGTCAAAAGTGCTATGAGATTCAAAATTCCAATCCAAAGGGAAATAAAAAAATCCATGTGATAACGGAGGTTCAATTGCGATGACTCCAAGATACCCACAAAGCATCATAGGATTAGTTGGCTCGTATAACGGGTTGAATATCCAAATTAATTAAAAAAAAAATTATAAACTAATTCATAACCAACCATTAAACGTATTCAAACACTAGATAAAACATTAAAATTCTACCGACAAAATATATACCCAATAGAAACTATTTCCTTCTCTAGCTCTTTTATAACCACACAAGTCCATAAAAAAATAAAAATAGACGAAATAGAATTGTATTGCTTAAGTACATTTTTAGTTATGTGTAAAATACAAAAAGCATTTAACAAAAATAAGAATTATAAAAAATAAAACTAAATTTTAACCATACGATTTGATCTTAATAATATTTTAATACAAGACTGTTTGACAGTTGCTAAATAGTTTGATACAGAATGATTAAAATACTCTCATGATATAGTGCAAAATAAAATATAATTGTTTAATAATTGTTTACAATAAATTTAAGGCTCTGAATGATTAAGGAGGTCCATGATACAAAATAATTCAGAGAGTTTTACAATCATTAAGAAACAAAAAAAAAATTCAAACAAGATTCACCTATTAACGATTCAAAGACTATATCTTAATGAAACTATTAAAAGGTAAATAAACAACCCTTAAAAATGGGTTTTTAAATAATATCAAATTTCATATTGGAATCGTGTTGTGAAATCGCCCAATTTATGTCTACAGACTCTTTTTGAAGTATATTTATGTCTATAGATATTTAATGCTATTTAATAACATGGAATTTATTAAAATGAGTTTTTTTTAATAATAAAATGGGTTCTGAATTAACGTATTTATTATGTCAAACTCCATATTATTTATTAAAATTAAGTGATATCTATTAAATAATTAGCCGTTGTTAGTGGAGAATGACAAAAGTCAAATGCTCAATTAATTTATCTTAATTAAGTATTTAATTACATGGCAGATATAAATAAATGAGTAAACCATAATTTGGTCTCTATGGTTTGTCAAAGTTAACACTTTTTGTCCCTACAATTTTGAAATTACAAGATGATTATTATGGTTTATGAAAACGTTTGGATTAAAGTTGTTCATGGACAAGAAGACGCGTTAGACCCGGTCTATCCGACCCGCTAGAGATACAGGCTTGGATAACCATTATCGAGAAAATAGACGGACCCGGATTTGTTTGTTAAAATTAACGGACGGACATGGGCAATGTAAAAATAAATATGGATAGGCCCGTCCGGCCCGTTTATATTTTTTAATTAATTAAAATTGTATTGGTATATTTTAAAATTAAATTATTAAAGTTATATGATGTAATTCTTTGGTTATTCTTGAGAACCCAAAACACAACTATAACTACCGATTATATTCTTTCCAATACTTTTTAGCTGGTGACTGTTTGACTGTTAAAGAATTATTGACGTTCTTGATCAAAAAATGAGAACTTTGAAATTGGCAGTAGCATGATGGAGTCATGAAAATTGAATATTAATGTTATATATAAAAAAATAGGAATGCATTATTGATTTTATGGAAGTCTGACTTTGTTTTTCATTTATTTTTCCATTTGTTGAGATCCATGCATCACTTTAATTGCTTAAAATTTTAATTGTATTGGTTTTTTCTTTACTTTTCGGTTCTACATTGTTAATTAATTACAAGTGATCAAGTTTACATATTTATAGAAGTTACCTTTAAGGCCCGTTAGTCTGTGTGTAAGCCCGACCCGTTTATAGGGCGGGCAATGACAAGCAGTCAAGCACACAAAAAAAGGCTTGAGTTTAATATTAAGCTCGTTAATACAAGTTAGGCAAGGGCCCAGGTCCAGTCTAGACCCGTAAATGATCACCTTGGGCATTTTCATCTTTTTATCCAGTTTTTTATTTTTTACCCAATAAAAAATCATAGAAAGCAAAACTACAAAATCAATTTTGATCGAAAAAAAGACAAAAATGTCTCTTATTTAACGGAGTATTTTAACAGTTGTTAGAAATAGAGACCAAATTTAAATGTTTTTACAAACCGTGACGATCATTTTTTAATTTTAAAACTATAAGGACCAAAACTATTATTTTCGACAAAATACAAGGACCAAATTCATAGTTTACTCTTAGTAAAATGTTCCCCATAAAATGGGTTTGAAATTAAGGTATTAAAATCATGTTGTGAACCGTGTAATTTATATTTATATATTTAATGCTATTTAATAAAAGTAATAAATATTTTTAATATATCATGAATTAATTGCAATGTTTTAAGTAGTTACTTAAATATATAATATAGTTGAAGTATAATATAATTATTGTATTTTATTTGTCTCATTAAATGTATTAAAAATACAATATTACACATAACTTTTAAATTACCACAATTTTTATTTAATATATTTTAAAATATTAAAATATTAAAATATTATTTCCAATGTGCAATTAATAATTAATCTTGAGAGGTTGATGTTACATTATATGGGTTCTAATCCATCATTTGAATTGATATGTGTCAATTAATCTTATGCAATTATCGTTTTTCCAGTGGATTTCGGTTCGATCTAAGGATCTAAGCATTTTTGGGACAGTTTGGTGCAACGGGTATGGTTTCGACAACCATATGTAAGTTGATGATTTTTGGTGCATGTGGTCGTTAGTTTTGGTTGGTTGTGTTTTGTGTGGTTGCGGGTTGCAGAGAACAGTTCGAACTAAGGCACCACACTACACTTGGCTCTACTTATTTACAATGGTGAGTCGTCTGTCTACGCGATTTGACAGTCCACAACTATCCCCCCGACAGATGAAAAGCACTAGCCCGGTTTATCAAGGATATCGTCACTAGCATCGCCCTTCGAAAATACCTTGATAATGATCTCTGTGTTTTAGCTCTTTTTTTTTAATGTTGCCTCTTTTATGCTCCTTTTAGAATTTGTAGATTTGTTTTCTTGTGCATTCGCTTTTTCTTTGAATATTATTGTCTTGTCTTAAAAAAAACAGATTACAAGGTTAATATTACATAATTAAGATTTTATCACTTATTCATTTGTGAAGAATTGCCCGAAAATCACGAGCTTATATAACATAAATTGGATTTTCTGTAAAAAGAATTGTGTCCAGTTCAAATGAATTTGGATAAAATGGATTTAATTGGATAAATCGAAATTCACCATGAACTTTCTTTTAGCAAAAAATAGCATTGTTGATAAAGTTTACGATATTAGAATTTGTAGATTGCTTGAATTTTAACTGTTTTATTTTTGTGGACATTGTGTATCTGATGATAGATTGGCAATCAGATTTGTTTTTAAAAACTATGAATAATCTAAACGCCGATTCACATATACATTTTCAAGTAGTTTTTTTTTTCCCCGAATTTGTTGCTTAACAGTTGCTGAATAGTTTGGTGCAGAATGATTAAAAGGTTCTCATGATATAATGTAAAATGAAATATAGTTGTTTGGTAATTGTTTACAATGAACTTAGGGTGTTGGATGGTTATGAGAGACATGAGATACAAAATCATTCAAAGGGTTTTGGAATCATTAAGATACAATTTTTTTTATCAAACAAGATTCACCTCTTAACGATTTAGAGACTATCTTTTAATGAAACTATTAAGCTGTAAACAAACAACTCCTCAATGGTTCATATATAAGTATTCAGTTAGGACCAGTTTACCAAACACTTATGCGGTAAACGCTTACCGCTAAAATTTAACACTATCATTTACTTACCGGGTAAGATTTTAGTTCACCATAACGGTATCGTAAATAACAATTTACCCGGTCAGCTTTACCGTGGTAAGAGTATTCGCTCTCACTTACGAGGTAAGACTTTTGGTTATTGTCTCGTTCTTACCGGGTAAGATTTTTGGTTCTCACCATATTTATCCGGTAAGATAATGTGACTTAGTGTTCATTTACCCGAGTAAGCGTTTGATAAACGGCCCATTAATCTTATTTTCTTATATTTTATGGTATTTAACCTTTTCATTTAAACCAGATAATATAGATATCTATTTGTTAGGGTCTAGTATTGTAGGATAAATGTCTATATTAGTGGCTCTAATTCATTCTTTTGATTCCATATATTCCGGCTTTTTCCGTACTTAATTATTCCCTTTGGCCCTATTTGCACAAACAACAATGGCTTTTTTTTTCTTTATTCTCTTCAAAAACTTAACTCCCATAATTTAATTATAAAATATTTGATAAAAATTCTTAAAAATCATTTTTTATGTATTAAGTATTGTTTATTGATGTATATTATTTAAACTTCAAGATTACAAGTAAATTATATGTATTTACGAATTATTAAAGTTTCATGTTTGAATTCGTGTAAC